GGCTACTTACGAGGATGAGGCAGCCGTTGTCCTGCTTCAGACTCTTGTCTGGGGGGAATGCGCACTTCTGCTCAGAGGCGATCAACTTCACTGCATACACACACACACACACACACACAAATGGGAGATGGCCGTCCTCCGTGTATTTGTCTACCATTCATGGCGTTGAACGGGTCGCTTTTGAGCAGCCTGATGTCCAGGTCCCCGAGCTCGCCGTCGGAAAGACTCAGCTGCGCATCGCTGCCCACTCATACGTCACACCACCCGCACACACGACGGTCGTGCGCATGCGCGTACACGTGTGTGTGGGTTTCAAGCTCACCGGACGTTCTGTATCAGTTCCTCGACACAATGATCATTCTCGGAATAGATCTGCACAATTGGACACAGGTAGATCTCCACCAAAGACACGCACACACGCACACGCACATGCTTACGCGTTCTGCGAGTCCCGTAGACCCCTCGTTGAGCATCTTGATGATTTCAGAGAATTCCTTGAGCTTCTCAAGGGGCTCTCCAACCTTACGCTTCACCTGCACACACACACACACACGCCGTAAAGAAAGTGCGTCATTCCTGCGTGCGTGCGCCTGTGTGTCCGCACCCGCATAGCATCGATATGCTGTTCGGGCGCCATGCCCTCCCTGCACACAAACAGATCCACAGATTCATCACATCACGCGGGCGGATGCATTCATCATGCCACCCCGAAAGACCTGTATGTGCGCTCGAGCTGCCTCCTCGCCATCCTCTCCAACGCACGACAACACCTCTACTTGGCTACATCAAGACGGAAACCGACGGAGATCCATAGATGATCGACCCCTTTTTGTAAACGCAGTCTACCAAGGTTTCAGCTTTCGGTTCCTCCATGTTGCGTTTGGTGGTGGTGCTGCTGGCCACTGGGTTCCTGGCGAGCCTCGCTGATGGCACGAAAACCCATGACGTCAAGATGCGGGTACGTTTCGATGGCCGACGAATGCATTCACGCGTATGGGGGTCTTGTTGTGTTGATTATAGTGTCCTCTCGGCTGGGCGGAGGGTCCTGCCGGCGACTGTGTGCCTCCGGAACCTGCATTCGCCGAAGAAGACGGCACCAAAGAGAGTGAGGGAGCGCTGACTGATCCATACACATGTGACGGTGTGCACACGCGAGTCATGGATTTCTGCATGTGCGCATGATGTGTGGGGTCTCTGCACTGTGCAGTCGATTCCACGGCCACCAAGCACAGCAAGAATACTGACGAGGACGGCTCCTTCGCCCAGATAGGTATACGTGGATGGATGGATGGATGGATGGATGACCGCACAGACGAAAGGAACAGAGATGCGTCTCTTCTGAATGCATTCATGCCTGCGGGCGAGTGCAGATACGCAGGGCGGCAGGTGCTTTACACCGCTTCCGGGGGGGTTCTCGGACGTGATAAAGTGTTCTCAGGACACCCTTGGCACCCACTGCGGCAAATTCCAGCGCGTATGCGATGGAATTCTCTTTGAGATGGATGCATCGTGTATGCATGTGTGTGTGCCAACACAGCACGGCGGCGATGTTGAGGATTGCATCTGCGGTATCTTTCAAGGAGAACTCGACTGCTGGGTACATACAAACACACTCACGCGCGTATGCAAGTGCATTTGATGATACATGCAGCCCGAGAATACTCTCAAGTTCCCAAAGCGCGGGCCTTGGGCCACGGCCAGCATCCAAGGTACACACGTACACCAGCACACCGCACCACACACATGTACAGACGCATGGATATATATGCATGTGTGTGTGGGTGGGTGGGTGTGATCAGTCGACTCGACGGTCGCCAAGCACCGCGGGTCGACCAAGGAGGGCGAGCTGTGAGCAAGACGGCGCCCATAGCATACACCACCACGATACAGAAGAGACACCGACTGATACGAATACGCATCTGACTAATCAGTTCAGTGGCGGGGGGAGTGTACCTGAGAGAATAAGTGGGCGGAGAGAGTGTGTTTTGTGTTTGTCGGTCGCTCATGGCATGGCGTCTATACAGCTGGCTGCTGCATCTTCGTTTCGTTGTACAGACGCGTGCGTTGTCTACACAGACGTGTATACGCTTGTTTTTCCGTGATTGGGTGGGGCCGAGACACGGTTAAATGTTCCTTTTAACCTGACTCCTCTACCACTTTCAAGCGATAACACGGCTCCCTCCTTCTGGGTGGTGGTGGTTAAGGGTAAGATTGTCCGTGTGTCCATGCGCTGGGACGGTCGATTACATATGCCCTCCTTCTTGATCAGGGGCCGCGGACAGGTTTCGATTTCTTGTCCTCCGTGTTTGCCTTGATGAGTGGAACCAACAGGACAAAGCCGCCGATCTCTCTATACGATGATGCTGCGAGCAGTGCACGAGGCTCAGCCGGAGGTGGGGAGAGGGAAGGAGGACGAAAGAGCTGCCGTTAAGCATGCACGTTCGTTACACGGAAGAGTTAGAGCGCGGAGGAGGGATGGATCAATCAGTTCCCCCTTCTCTCTCTTTCAACCGCTCTCGATTGGGCGTCAGCGTCCATGGCTCTCTTCTCGCGCCTGACACTGGTTGTCTTCGCCTCTCTGCTTGTGGCGGTGTGGATGCCCTCAGCCACGGTGGCCAGCACAGCTGCTGCTCCCGCTTCCACTACTGCTGCCCCTCCTGCTGCTGTTGATGGATCTGACATTGGCCTGACGATTGTGGATGAACAAGAGGACTTGCTGGTCGATGAGCCTGAGACCTATGAGAGGGATGAAGGGAAGAAGGACGGGCCTGCGACGTCGGGCAACCTGCGTGCACTGGGTGAGCACGACCACAACGCACCCACGACTGGCCCGACAGTGAGTGAGCATCATCACGTACCCCTCCCTTCTGTGGTTTTTGCTGTGCAGGACCTCATGATTGTCGTCAAGACCGCCATTGCCGGTCCGGCTATCGCTGCTGGCGCCACAAATGTAAGGGATGAGACAGAAGCACATAGGACACAGGGCAGCTCTCTGTCCGGGACATGTGTGCAGGCTTCCGGAGGTACTGAGAGGTCTCGGTCCAATCAGCTGATTCGATCCGACCCACACCGTCTGTGCACTCGTCTGCCTCCGATGTGTCGTCACTGTTCTTTCATTAAGTCTGTAGATGAATGCATGCCTGTTGCGTGTTGTGTGTGCATGTTTGCGTAAGTGTGAAGAGCACTTGGCCTGTCTTGCTGTTTGCGTTATGCGTCTGCACTGCATAGTTTTTGTTGTGTGGTGTTGTGTGTGCCTTTTGCCTGTCAGTGTACTGTGTTATGTGTGTGACTTCAGCATGTAAATAGACACACGAGTGGGGGAAGTGGGGAAGGGGACAGGGGCTGGGGAACACCGGGTTGGTATCATGGGTGTGGTGTGCTTGTGTGCTTTCTGGACTGAGAGAGGGTGGATGTTGCCTGATGTGGGTGTGGGTGTGGATGCGGTGGGCATGATATCATTATGGCCACCACATGCATACCCACACATTCGTCACAAACGGTCATTTGTCTGTCACGCACATGTGTGTGTCGGTAGTGCCCTGTCTGTCTGTCTGCAAAGTTCGCAGTGCACCTGTGCCCTTTGTTGTACATTTGTAGTGGATTTCTGCTCCGTGTGGGAGGGGACGGCCTAGTGAGTTTCTCTTCATCGCATGACTGACACGCTGGGGGGACACCTGGGGGACACAAAGGAACGGACACTTCACCATGAATCGTCACCACAAATACGTAACGGCCTCGCTCATCGTCCACCTCAAGTTGTTGTCACGTGAATGTGTGAACCGACAAAAGATCAACCAAGTATCCCACCCCACCCTTCCCGGCCCAGCTGCCCCTGCCCTCCTCTGCACAAAGAAAGAGCGAGCGACACACACATCAACCAAGGGAGCGCACAGGTCTGATTCCATGGTGTGAGACAGTGGTGGAGCGATGTCGCGTGCCTGCTGGAGGGGTGGAGAGGTGCCCCAGAGGTCAGAGATCCACTGCAGACAAAAGTTGCGGCTGGACCTGCAGCAAAGAGCTACATGGGCTGAGGAGGAGGGAAAGGCATGGAGGGAGAGAGACGTCTGTTTGGTTTGGCGGATTGTGACAATAAACCCGTCGCCTCGGGATGATTCGCTATCACGTGTCTCTCTATTGTCCCGTGTGCAGCGAGGGGCGCTGGCGATGACGCCTCACGGGATAGAGAAGAGGCGATGGATCCGATCCACCCTCTGGCTGATGTTGACTCACTCGCCCGTCTGCCTGTCTGACGCGCATATTGTACTGTGTGCGTCGCTCACTGTCCTTTCATGGAACAGGCGATGGATGGATGGAACGACAGCACGGGCCGTCTGCGCGCATGTCCGGCCAAGTTTGTGTGTTAATGCTGTCAAGCCGCCTCAGTGCCGAATTTCGTTTTCATTTGGATAGATCATATGATATCATTCACTTGACGTATGTATATGTGGTGCGCATGTGTCTCTCGTCGGTCTCTTATCCGTCCCATCCCCCACCCCGCCCTCCCATGTGTAATGTGTACACATGCACAGATCAGCGTGCAGTGCAGTGCAGTCAGTTGCTATCGACAAATTTATACAGCCAATGATCAGATCGCAGCACACATGCACATATATGCACAGACAACAAGCCGCTCAGCTCACGTCGGATCGCGTCAGAACTCGGTGCACCGACGGCTTGGCAAAGCACGAACATGAACACAGCACTAACGTACGAGTGTATTCACAAAGAGAGCTATTCAGAGAGAGAGACACAGAGAGAGAGAGCTGTTTCATTCACACACAACGAAGGGCAGATGCAGCCGACTAGGCTGCGCGAGACATTGAGTGGCAGTGAGTGGCGCGGCGCTGCCGGCCGACCAGCGAATGAACGAACGAACGAAGAACTACCTACACACGACTCTCACTTACTAAGCTAGAGCACAGCACACCACACCACAGCACAGACAGTGCAGCCAGTACACCAACATGCCGCAGACATTCACACACATACATATCCGCCGCTACAGACAGCAGGCAGGCAGGCAGGCAGGCAGTCTTCCCCCCGGCCGTCAGTGCAGCTTCTCGTCAGCGAACCAGCCGTGGGGGCCCTTACGGGGTACTCGGCTCCTCCGTCGTAGGCTCCTGCGTGGGAACTTCCGTCGGAGCCGCCGTCGGCTCCTCCGTGGGGGTCCATTTGCAATCGGCACACGTGACGGCCTTCAGTGCGTTGATCTGGCCCCCCGTGACGCACAGGCCCTCGAGCGAGTCCATCTTCTCGGAAGTCGACAGAATGCGATGCTTGATGTCGCAATAGCTCTGCGCCGGATCCGTCGACCACAGAAGGGCAGCCAAACCTGAAGTCACAAAGAAACCAACAGTCGATTGGATCGTCTAATGGGTATCACACAGCAGTCCTCAGTGCTTGCGTACCAGCGACAAATGGCGTTGCCATGCTGGTGCCCCCCATTGCCGCATACTTGCCACCGGGCATCGTCGAGAAGATTCTCGTCCCCGGCGCAAAGACGTCAACGCTCTCGAGGCCGTAGTTGCTGAAGGGCGCCTTCTCTCCATTTCTAGTCGCCGCGCCGACGCTGATGATGCTGTCCAGCTCAGATGATGCCGGGTAGCCTTTCCTGGGGCCGTCATTGTCGTTGTCGTCGTTGCCAGCCGCGGCGATGAACAGCATGTCGGCCTCCTCTGCCTCCCTGATGGCCTCCTCGAGCGCCCTGTATGCAGTAGACCCAAGGTAGCCCCAGCTGTTGCTTGTTAGCGTGGCCCCCATGGCAACGGCATAGTTGATTGCGTGGACCGCGTCAGCAAGGGAACCCCGACCATCCTGATGTAGGGGCACACAGACATGTGATTTGAGCGCCCCGCGACCCTATGGTTATTCGACTTACCTCGCCGCAGAGGAATTTGAGTGCTATGATCTTGGTTCTGCCAAATGCGACGCCTGCGATGCCCTCCTGGTTGTTGGCAGTCGCTGCGATGGTACCTGCACAGTGATCACGTCGTCGGTGAAGGATCAAGGTGATGATGCGAAGAGAGAGGGCGAGTTCTGGTACCTGCACAGTGAGTTCCATGGCCACCCTCATCCATAGGATCGCCGTCGCCAATGTGCGGGTTCTCGGATCCGTCGCACCAGGCCCAGCCGTGAATGTCATCAACAAAGCCGTTACCTGCACACAGACACATACAGACCCAGGAATGCATGCAGATCGTGTGTGTGGATGTCCCTTCCTCCCTCCCTCCCCCCCTCCCTCCCTGCATCCCTACCGTCGTCATCGATGCCGTTGCCAGCGATCTCGCCTTGATTGACCCACATGGCGTCCTTGAGGTCCGGATGGGTGTAGTCGACACCGGTGTCAATCACCCCGACCACCGTACCTTTGCCCACTGAGTCGGCCCCACTGGCCGTCTCCTGCTGCTGCTCAGACAGGAAGGCCCACGCCTCGGGCATATCGATGCTGGCCATCCCCCACTGCTCCTTGAAGATTGGGTCGTCGGGCACGAAGCGGTTGGGCTCCTGTGCTGCCCGGGCACGCAGCCTGCGGCCAGAGGCCGTCGCAACAACGGCATCCGGCTCGCAGATGTCGATCTCATCCGACGCCAGGAGGGCAGCCTCGCATGTGGCCGCTGCATCGACACCTAGCGGCAGATCCACCACGTCCATGGACAAGCTGTTGAGGTGGTGGACCGTCGTCTCAGCCGTGTGCACGGTGGTCTCGGCTGACAGGGAGGCCTGCAGTGCCCTCGAGATGGTCTCGGCGCGGGCAAGGCCCTCGGTGTGTGGGTGCTTGAGCTTGACGATTATGCGGTGGATGCCAGCTGCACCAGCTGGACGCGGTGGCGGACTGCTGAGCGCACGGACACTCGGCTGGTCGTTGGCGGCACCATCACTCACCAGGCTGAATGTGCTGTAGGAAACCACGGGCGTCTTGTTTGCAGAGGGCTGACTGGCCACCAGGGACAGGGCGACCAGCAGAGTCCACACGATTCCCGCAAGCTGAGCCATTGCCGACGATAACAGGGCGATAGAGAGCGATGATCAAGTCGTCGAGGAAGGATGAAGGTGATGATGCCAAGAGAGAGGCCGAGGGAAGCGGGAAGTAGGAAGGCTGGAAGGTGGGAAGTGAAGATCTGGGACGATACCTTGGCTAAGGGTAGGGTAGGAGGGAGGGATGGAGGGAGGGATTTTTCTCCTCTCCCCCCTCCCGCCGTTTTGCCTCTCTCTCCCTGTCCGTTCTATCTATCCTTCCAGCCATCGTCATAATTCATCCGAACTCAGATCTCTCTGTGCGTCCGCCTGCCTCTCTCCCGTGCCACCTTCTCTTATCCCTGCCTCAGTGGTCTCCTGTCTGCAACGACAAGAACAAAGATGATTTCCCAGTGCGGTGTGGCGGTGTGTGTGCTGGCTCTCCTGGCGGCCTGTTGTGTGCCCCTCGCAGCGGCCAAGAATGGTTTCTGTCCCATCCGAGAGGACCCCCTCCCCGAGTGCCCACACGGCTTCGTGCATCTCGACGACAAATGCGCCAAGCCATTCCGCCACGAGCCACACTACTATTGCGCCAAACAGGTACACAAACACTCACACTCAGTAGGACGTCATGAGGCATCGGCTGCGTGTATGTGTGTGTGCGTCAGGGCTATGTGGTTGAGGGCAATCAGTGTGTTCTGTATCAGTACGCCAACCGCACTCCCTTCTGCAGGGACCCCCACGCCACTCTGTCGGGGACCACGTGCATCACAGAGGAGACCTGCCCTCCCGAGTACAGGTGCCGCTTCGGCTACCAGCTGACAGCCGACGGCAGCAAGTGCTACACCAAGTGCCCCTTCACCGGCAGGATCCAGTATGCCCCTCGCGACCCCTCCTGCCCCCGTGGCGTTCTCGATGCGCACCGCCACGTGTGCGTCATCACCCGTACGCACCCGGCTGACTTCAGGTGCCCCTTTGGCTACCACCCGAGCGGCGACAAGTGCGTCGCCAAGCACTTCGCAGAGAGACTGTAAGCACCGCAACACGGGAAAGGGCTCGTCCACCCGTCACCGTCCCCATGGGTGTGTCTCTGTGTGTGTGTCTGTTGATCAGGCATTCGTGTCCGGATGGGTTTGAGTTCAAGCGTGGCGACGAGCTGCCGCCGCCGTTGGGTGTCGGACCACACGAGGAGACCTGCATCAGGTGCGACCACGCTCCCGTCCAGCACCGCTGCGCCAGGGGCACCCTCCAGTGGATCGCCAACAAGCCCGTCTGCTGCATCCACTGCCACGGCCGCTGCGGTGGCCACCTGCGCCGGGAGTAGACACAGCGACATGTTTGTCGCTGCTCTGTCGCTGAATGTAGGTCTGAGTGTGTGTGTGTGTGTGTGTGTGACTGTTCTGGTGGGGCCCGGGAGGGG